GAGATGTCTGTAAGAAAGGTCTCAAAACTCACTGAAATGCTTCTTATCTTTGTGCTTAGTAACATCTGACCATTTATAAGATACACAATAGGATCTATTTCTGGGCTCGTTCTCCATTCTGGCATCCACAAACCTACAAATATTCTACAGCAGCTATAAAATTTAAATAAAGAAATTAAATTGTAAGAATAGATATTGATAATAGAACATAAAGGTTGTTTATAAAACCTAGAAACAAAATATTATTTTATTTTTTGTTACAGATTGACAATGCCCTGTATGACATTGGGTGTGGATTCACCTGTTTGCAGACTTTAAGATGCACTCTGTTTGCTTAGGGAGAACTCGTCGAAGCTATTTGCAGTATATATTAGTATCACTGAGAGTAACTGGAACTTTGATCCACATTATAAAATTGAACTCGTAGCACTATAAAATCAGCAACATATAGTTTTGACAAATGCATGTCAAAAAATGTACACATTTGGTTTTATTATGGAACCCAAGCTCCCAAAATAAGGGGAGAAAACACTGTGCATCTCGGCAGCCCTTCTTGCTTCTGTTGCATGTGTATTACACAAGGTTTGGAGGTAGCTCTCCAAAATATTAGCTGAAAGCTTCCTCGGAAAGCAAATCTTTCCCACATCCTTCCCTGCAGTTCCTCTTTAAGAGGTGTCAGCATGGCTGAAAGAATGAAGTGGCTGCACATTGTTCCGTAGTGCTATTATGTGCTTAACATTTCCATAACAAAAGTGCCACTCGACTTCTCCCCGATTAATGCAGCTCGAGGGCTCTTGTCGTCCTTTAATAAAACATTGTTGAAATCATTTATTTAGAGCCCCTGGTTACTAGTGGGAGAATGACCATCTTTGTGCCAAAATATAGTGTATACAGTCCACTATTTTGTAGTAGATCATTCTGCGATTTAAGAAATTGATTAAATGGATGTCTTAGAAGGTATTTATGCTAATAGCACATTACTTATGTCATTCAGATAGTCAAGGGTGAACCTTTTCAACTGTCCAGCAGAGGCAAGCCCTCATACAGAATACAGTAACATCCAACTTTACTTAACTTGCAGTGAGACCCACTGGAAACCCAGGCATTTGTAACAGGACATTTCTCAACGACCTTGCTTTGGGAGAAACCGGGTCAGCTGACAAGCATTTCTGATGTTCCTTGGTGTAAGAAGTCAAAAAACAAATAATGCATGTTTTTCTTTTGATAGGCTGGAAAGGATTATATGAGGTTATATTTGAGAACCTCCAGGGTTAAACCCAGTAAGGAGGCTAATAATGCAAAGTCAAAATTTAAAGTAGAAGGATTTTCAAATGCAGTGTTTGGTGGCTCTTAAAGTTCTTGTCTCCTTTTCCTCCTCTTTTTGGTCTATCCTATATAGCATTGCTGAGATGGAGTAGGGTATGAATGCAGGGACTGTTGAGGAAGGGACTCCCGCTCCATACTGTGTTTCTTCACTCTTCAAAGGAAAGAGGCTGCTGGTTCTGAATCTTGTCTTCCCCATACAGACACTATTGGGAGCGCTGCAGTGAACCCCAGACATGTCAAAGCATGGTGGCTACTTTAGGTTGTGGCGGTGGCTGTCAGGAGCTGCTTCCTTACTTTTGGACATCTGTAGGGGCCCTCTCTAAGCAAAAGGAGGTCCTGCTTCTTCGTACAGGGAAGAATTTAGTTCCTTCCAGTCATTTTTCCCCTTTATATACAAACATTGCTCACATACATTGCTATATATTGTTAAAAATAAACAAGAGATCTTATGTCCATTGTGGTCATATACAAAAGCATTGCTATGTGCTTGGGTGAACAGTGAAGCCTGAACTTCCTTCTATTTACTGTATGGTCACTGTCAGTTCAATGAACTGCCTCCTTGTTCTCCTCCATTGTCCCGCACTCCCTTAAACATTTGTCACTGAAGTGCCTCCAAAGACAAATAAACTCACTAAGAAGGCAAACCTGCTAACTGGGAAAATGAGGACAACCTGGAAGACCCATGATTTTACCTGAAATTCAAAAAAGAGTTGCTTGCTCTCACTCCATAATATTTCTGTGGGAAGTGTGGTACTTTTTGAGAATCTCCAGGAAAAGCCAGAGATACTTTTTCTTTCAGTAATGGTACTTCCAGGCATTCTCCATCTCGAATGTCCAAAATTCCAAAGGCTCCCCAGAGAGAGTGAGGTATTACAGATGTCAACATCTGTAAAAATCCTTTCTGCCTAGGAGCAGATGGCAACGTACCAGCCCATAACCAAAGCCGAAGGTCCTAACATCTCAGCAACCTGCTCTGGAATCCACTAGGTCTGCAGAGGAAAAGGGGGCTCCTGGGCTCCAGAGCTGAACTGTTTAAATTGAAATGGACCACTGATCAATGTTCACTTTCTTCAAGGAAGAAAGCATAAAGCCTCATGTCTTCTCTCCCCAAGAGCTACTAGCTGTGTTGATTTATTCCAGGCAGATGCTTTTGACAGGACCCTGTAAAATCAAGTCGTGAGTTTATTGTAGCAGTTAATTATCAGGCCTTTTCTAGTGCTAATGCTTTTTACTTCTTACTGGGGAAAACTGGGCCTTTTACTGGGACAAAGCCTTAACTTTTAGTCAAGAATGTGTTAAAATAACATGAAATGGAGATGATTTAAATATACTTAAGGACAAACGCAGGAGTGTTGCTAACTCGACGTTTTGTAAAGAAAGCTGATTTCATTTACAAGTCTTTTGGAATACCCTTTGTTCATTTCCCAAAGAAACAAAGCTTTCAGCTTTGTTTTAACAATATGTTTACTCAACCATTCAGGTGACCCGGTTCCAGCCACACACCACTCTCCTAGGCTCCTCCAAAATTACAGCTATCTAAGACTTTCTGATGCTACGCATGTATGAATCTCTTGGCTTTAGATCCACCAAGAAGCACCTAGAAGCCTTCCATAAAAGCTGGGAAAAGAGCCACTTAGAGGAAAAGAAACCTTGAAAGTAGTGGGTGGGAGTGGGTGGGAGGAAGTTGGGAGGGGGCATAGCTTTGTTAATTACTTCAGGCAGCAGAGAAATCTGGTTATGTTTTCTCAGCACATGTTAATATCATATAAAGAGACACGAGATCTTGCTAATCTGTGGACCCCTCAGACAAAGTTTATTTGTGGTGACTTTTAAACTCCTGACTTGCCTTCCAATCACCGCGTTTAAAATGAAAAGCTTTAAATAAACACCAGGAATAGAAGATAAATAAACTTTTTTTTCCCCCTTGCAAGTGCCTAGCTTGGCGAAGTTCAGACTCAAATCCCCAGAGGACAGAGCGCTCTCTTTTGTGTTAATGTTTAAAAGATTTTCCAATGCCGGAGTTTATTCCTACTGCAAACATTTCTATTTACAAGGTCAAGTGTATCAGCACTCGACACAGCTTAAGAGTGTAATTATTTATCTAAGGGCGTTTGAGTGTAGATCAGTAGCTCTGGCAGGAACCCAGCCTTCAGCCCACTGCTAAACAACTCCTCACAACAATATTACAAGTTCTGGTAATTGTTCCTCTCCCCAGTGTGTTTACTTTTCCTCGCCTGAATGTTTTGTAACAAAATTTTGTACTTCTTCACCCAAAGTGTGAAAATGACTTTGAAGTATTGAGTCTCGCAGGTTTCCTAAGACCTATTGGTAACAGATGTTATTGGCATGTTTGATTGTATGAGATTGTCTAGTGGCCACTGAGGACACTCCTGGAAGAAGGGTGGGGGAGGGGGGTCCCAGTGGAAATGGTGGAGCAGAAGGTGATGTCTGAGTTATCCCAAATTACGTAGGAGACACTATTTTGTGAATTCTCTTCAAAAACATAAAAACCAGTGGAGGCCAGTCAATTATATCTTTTTAGCTGCCTCATTTACAGATGTTTAATTGTTCATTAAATTACAGGCATAAATAATAGCTCTCATTTCTTGTCTTGTACTGTATTTTAATTTCAGTTGATGGTTGATAGATTCCCGGTGGCCCCTCCACCTCCCTTCTCACCCATTATTGGGTTAACCACAATGTAACTCTGGAAAGTAACTACACCATATTCATTATTTAAAACTCTTTACTGATGTACACATTTTAATAAAACAAATAATAAAAGAAATACACAAAGCCATAGTTACTTAAAACATAAGACTTTTTTTTAAAGATGTCTATAAAAATATGTTTAAGGCAGTTTGGAAATGCATTTATACATTTCTACAATGTCCATAAATTCTTTTGAAAATAAGAATGTTAACTTCAAATCTATAAAATACACTGTACATTTCAAGACTCCTAGATAGAGCACACTTCACAACGGACTGGGGGTTTGGACAGTTTCTATACATTTCAGGGAGAAAAGGTGTAACATGAATGTGGATTTAAAGTTTTTAATTTCTTTTTAAAAATAAATTATTTCTGAAGCATACAATTTATAAAAATTCTATATACAAAGTACAGCAACTGGTAACAAACCCCAGTTTTAATACAATTTATATAAGAAGTACCAGGGTTTAGCACCCTGATAAAAGCAGAAGCAATATACGTTCTCTGCATATTTGTACATACAATTTCTTGTTGTAAAGAATAAAAACGACAACAAAACGAACATCATAAAGAGGCTTTCATAGATGGCAGTGCAGAGCTCATTTAATACAAATTTGCATTTTCAGTACCACTAGCAACTCTTTAGATCAGCACTTTTTGACCCTTAATCCTAAGAAATGTACTAAGAGATCGGAGTGGTGGGAATGAAATTAAGGTCAAGGGCTCAAAGTTATCTAAAACTAATTCAGGAATATTAACCCCTTCCCACCCCTATCTCAAACTGAGGATTCAGGGCTCTGGCACAAAAAGTAAACTAATGAACCGGTAAGGGGGGCTTTTTTGACTACTGACGATTGCAATGTCCTCACTGGCCACAATAAAAGTTGATACCGCCCCCACCCCACCCCGACCCCCGAAAATGCTCACAAACTGACAGCCTCTTTTGCAAATATAAACCCCCTGCTCCGAGCCCAGTCCCTTGGAAAATGCTAAGGCCCTACTGGTCAGCACCCTCTTTGGAGTCCGGGACTACGGTTCTGCCCGCCCCCCGCCCCCCGACGCCCATTCCATGCCAGGCGTCCAGAACCCTAGCGAGGCCAGTTTCTGCAGGGCGTAAGTGTTGGGAGTTTCTGGAGCCTGAAATGGGGCCATGGGAGGATGCCCAAGAAGTCACGCTCAGGAGAGGAGACGAGCAAAGTGCCAAAAGTTGTGGTGGGGAGACTGGCTAAGTAGAGTCAACTTAGAAAACATTTTGGCAAGTATCCCTATCCATCCCCTCTGTCCCTAAGCCACAGGTGCCCTGGCACGGGCCCTCCCGCTGCCCATGTCGGAGGGCGCGAGGGCTAAAACAGCAGCGGGAGCAACAGCAGCAAGATGGAGGCGAACGGGGTCCAGGCGCCTCGGGTCGCCAAGCGTCCACCGCCGTTGCCGCTCCTTCGCCCGGACCCGTAGGGCATATCCCCGCGGCCGCCCGCCGCAGCAGCGCCGCCACCCGGGCGCGGCTGGTGCGGGATGCCGTCGTCGTCATCCAGCGGCTGCTCACCGCCTGCGCCTCCGGCGCGCTGCTCGTCGTCGTACTCCTCATCGTAGTAGTCGTCCAGACCCCCGTCCGACCCGCTGCTGCCGGGGCCGTTACCCAGCTCGGCGCCGAAGCACAAACGGGCCATGTTCTCTTTGACCGATTCGCATATGGGCCGCTCAAGGCCGTCACACACGCAATCGTTGAGCAGCGCAGCCTTGGGCACGGCCAGCATGTCTTCGATGACGGTGCGGCACTCATCTGTGCAGCGCAGCCCGTTGAAGAGCTTGCCGCAGTAAGTCAGGTAGCGGCTGAGCGCCAGGTTGCAGCGGCTGTCGCGGTCGCAGCGCCGGCGGGCTTCGGTGCAGCCCATGACCCCGCCCGCGCCCGGGCCGCCCGCGCCGCCGCCGCTGGTCCGGGGCAGGCACGGCTCAATGGCGCGCTTGGTGGACTTGCAGTTCTCGTCCTGCGCGCAGTCACAGTCCTCCAGAGCGGGCCCGCGGCGCGTGTGGTTGAGCTGAATAAGAGCCGAGATACAGTGGCTCGGACAGCGCCAGCGCGACGAGAAGGAAGCGGCTGAGGCCGGGAAGGCAGCAGCCGCCCCAGGCGCGTCGCCCCCGCCGCGCTGCGCCAGCACCGGCGCGCACGCCTCCGCGTACTGGTTGTAGGCGTAGCTGCACTCCGGCTCCCCCTGGCACTGGAGCAGCGCCTGCCAGCAGATGAGGCGGCGGCCGTGCGCCAGCCCCGAGCCCCGCGGCGCCGAGCCCAGCAGCTGCAGCAGCGCCATCAGGCACAGCCAGGCGCCCGGCACGGTTCCCCCGCGGGCCCCGCCGCCCAGCAGCCCTGCCACCATCGCGGGCAGCGGCGGCCGCCGGGCGAGGAGGGGAAAGGATACGAGGCGCGGGGAGCGGCGTACGCGAAGCCGGTGGAAAAGTTTGCCTCAGTCCTGCCAACTTCTTGCATGAGTGTTTTCATAAATCCATGCGCGCCCCTGCCTGGTGCTCCGCTGCTCGCAGAAGGTCGGTCTGGCTCCGGCTGCGGTGGCTTCGTAGGAACGCACTGCCGCGAAAAGCCCCTCCGGTCGGCCCCCGGCGGTGGCGGGAGGCGCTCACTGCCGCTCCGGTGGGCTGCGGGCCGCGGGGCCGCGGCGGCACTGCAGGACCGCGGAGCGCCGCGGGTGCATTTTGCTCCGCGCCTGCAGATCCGTTGTGCGGCCGCGGCGGCTCTTTCCTCCCCGGCTCAGCGCCGTGCCGCCGCCGCTGCGGGCTCTCGCATCGCGCCGCTTCCTGGCTCGCGTCCGTGCGCTGCCCGCCTTCCCGCGGCCGGGCCGCCCGCGTCCCCTCCCCCTCCGCCCGCGACGACCCCGGCCTCGCCGAGCTCTGGGGAGCCCTTTCCGGGAGGCGCGGGGAGAACAAGAAACTCGGCGCGGCCGGAGAGCGGCTCCCGGGCTTCCCTCGCCGGCGGCTTCTCGGGTGACAAGGAGCCCGGGGAGCGGATCCGCTGAGCCCGGCTGCGGACTCTCTAGCAGCGAGGCTTTAAATACAAAAGTGGGCCGGGAGCCCCCGCGTGGTGCCGCGGTGCCCCCTCATTATGCATGCATGGAAAAGCAAACAAACAAAAACATTAGCAACGCTCCTCCGGCTCGCCGAGCCCCGGCCCCGCGCGCTCCGAGACTGCCCGCTTTCTCCTTTCTCCACTCTTTCGCCCTTTGCTCGGCCCCCTTTCCCGGCTTTTCGAGATGCTATTGGTCCTGCCTGTTGTTGTTGAAACTTTTTTTCCCCCCCGAGCCGCTGGAGTGGGGTTGCGGAATGGGGGAGGGCGGGGAGGGTGGTGGGCAGCTCACATTCAGGCATTCAGGGCTTGAAAGGAAGGGCTTAGGGAGCCTGACAGAGGCCCGGGAGCTCCTCCTACTTTTAAGGAGGCTCGGATATGGAGTCCCCAGCTCGCGCTATGAACCAGCGGGCAAGGCTTAGGGGCAGCTGTTTGCATCCGGCTGCGCCACGGGCCTTTTTGTTTGGTTCTTTTAAACATTTTTTTTTTTTTTTGGTAGTTGCAGTAATTCTGCCTGGACTCCATCTGTGCCTTCGACTGGTTCAGAATTTGGTCTTTTTCGAGTTCCCCACCTTTAGGTCCTGCTCATCACAGGCGGGAGGGGGTAACCAGAGAATTTATTGTGGAACTCTGAAACTTGAAAAAAAAACCCCCAAACACCTCACCCAAGGAAGATGCACACACTTTAGTTGGGGGGTTTGGGGTACTAATGAGATATTTACAACAACCCCCCACCCCAGCACCCCGTCCAGATTTGCCGATCTGGCAGGTATGACCGTGGAGCCAGGTATCATTGTCAGTTAAAGACAAATCCAATCAACCAAAGTAATATTTTAGGAATATGTTACTAACATGATTGGTGATGAAAAAGAAAAATAGCCTTAAAAACCTTTAGGGATGTTGAGCAGTACCGTCTGGCCGCAGTCACAACATAAAGGAATGGGATAAACCAGTACGCTCCAAGGTTTCTATTCAAGTGTACGTTTCAATCCCTCGCTCTAGGGAAGCTGCCCGGTGCAGCAGCCTCTGCCATCCCGGCGCGGGAGTTTGAGATCTACCTTAACTGCGGTGCAACGCAGCCTTCGACCACCAGAGGCACCGGGCGTCTGCGGCCTGTCAAAAACTGGCGCTTTTTTTCCTCCCCTTTCCGTGGAGAGACTATCAACTCCATCTGTCACAAAAATTAAGGCTAAATCTCCTCTCCAGAAGCAGAGGGAGCCAGGACTCCAGCGCGCGCGGAGTTCGGCTGTCCGCCTCTCCCCGGAGGCCAAGTAGATTCGAAATGGCAAAAGTGAGAACAGAGCCACATCAGGCTTATCAGGCTGCAAAAAAGCCTCCAGTTCCTGCAGAGGTTGCTGCATTCCTCAGACGCAGGGTCTGCCTTGGGGAGCTGCACCTCTGCAATTCCCAAAACAGTACAGAACAAAATAAACTTTAAAAGAACCTGAGGTAAAGCAGATCGCTTTGCCCTAACTTGAGACATAGAAAACACACACACACACACACACACACACACACACACACACACACAATCTATACTTGGCGGGGGGGGGGCGGGGGGGGGAGAAAAGAACTACATCTATACAACCATTTTCCAGGCTCTGGATTTTTGTTGTGTTATTTGAAGTTACAATCTCAGTCATGCCAGAAGGGCTTGGACAAGTCCCACTCCTTCGCTGTAACTTGAGAACCACTGCTCTAGAGAATCTCATTTGTTTGTTTGTTTGTTGTTGTTTGTAAAATTTGTCAGCTCTCAGAGAGATTTAAGGGACTCCAGAGAGCTTCATGTGCTTCACGGACAGCTCAGCATCCCAATCTCATAACATTTCAGACCTGCAGGGCTATCAGGGGCCTGATACAGGCCTGAGAAGGAGGCTATGATGAGGTAGGAAAGTGAATGAGCCCTCTTCCCCATGAGTCCCAGAAACCGTGAGTACCACCTTGCTTCACATTCCAGGTTTGCGTGGATAGCCACCAGACCTCAAAGCCATCCCTCATCACCCATACACTGATCCCCATATGACTGTGTACACCTCTTAAACTGACTTAATTCCCATCCCGAGCCACACCCCACTGCCCCGCTGCTTCCGCCCCAAATTCATTTCACCCTGGAGTTCTTGATCTTTTTCAACCAGCAAAAAAAAAAAAAAAAAAAAAAAATTCTTCATCTTGTGTGTGTGTGTGTGTGTGTGTGTGTGTGTGTGTGTGTGTGTTCAAGTGCTTCCCGCTCAGGGGCTATGATGGCCGGATCCAGGTGCTTAAAGGGGTGGGGGTCCTGCCAGGGCACATCCAGGTAGCAAATTTCCCAGCAGGCTTTGGGCCAAGCTGTGGGAGGAAGAAGAAACCTATACAGGGAGGGAAAAGCCCCAAATGGCTTCTGGTTGCTTCTGCCCCTCTTCCCTTTTCTCTGCTCATCCGTTTGTGGTTTTTGGACACACAGCGGTTTCAAGCAGTTTTAACAAAGCAATTTTTTTCTGGGGGGGGGGATGGCGGTGATGGAGGGGGTGTTGCTGGAAAGGAGGTCCTCTGCGCGAGGGGCAGGCCACAGTCCCCAGATATTTTAGGAATTGTGAGGGACTAGATTTCCCCAGGACCTTCCCAGGGACCCAGTGAGGAAACCGAGGTCCAGACAGGACAATGGAGCTCTGAGTGGCTGAGGTAAAGGCAGAGCCCCTCTCCCGCATTCCATGCTAGTCCCTTCTCCTCCACCAAGTACTGCCCAGAGACCCTAACCAGGAGGCCCTCTCTGGGACCGGCCCCAACAGGAGGCCTGGGAACAAGAGATAATGTGAAATGCTAACTGGATCAAAGGCGATAAAAACCTTTTTAGGAAAAAAAATCTTGCATATCTTCAACCTGCTTTCTGAACTGGTTAGAGCAACTTCTTGCTCTAACTAAAACCTGCTGAAACTTTATGGAATGGGAGAAAATATTTGCAAACCACATATCTGATGAGGGGTTAATATCCAAAATATATTAGGAACTCATACAACTCAATAGCAAAAAAGATGGAAAAAATATGATTTAAAAATGGACAGAGAGCATAAATAGACATTTTTCCAAAGAAAGCATATGATGGTTAACAAACGCATGAAAAGGTGCTCAACAGCATTAATCATAATGGAACCGCCAATCAAAACTACAATGAAGTTATTACTACAGAGCTGTGAGAATGGCTATCAAACAATATTTAACAAATGCTGGTGAGAATGTGGAGAAAAGGGTGCACTGACTGTGGGTGTGTAAATTGGAACAGTTACTGGAAAACAGGATGGAGGTTTCACAAAAAATTAATATAGAACTACCAAAGCATTTAGTAATCCTGCTTCTGATTATGCATAAGAAAGAGATGAAATTACTATCTTGAAGAACTATTTACACTGTTGTCTTTATCGAAGTGTTATTTGCAATAGCCAAAATATGGAAATAATCTAAGTGTCCATTGATGGACAAAAAATAAAATATGACATATATGCACAATGGAATATTATTCAGCTATGAAAAGAAGGAACTCTTGCCATTTGTTTATCATGGATGGCCCTTGAGTAATACGGAGAATTTCTTATGGAAAGGAGCTTCCCACATCTGTGGGGGTTGGGGCAGCAAGTAGTATAATCTGTTGCTTCCATGTCTGGTATCAAGCCATAATTCACTATGGGTTGGCCAGGCAGACAGTCGGGAAGGAAAGCTAGGACAACTGGAACCTCTGAGGGTGAATTGGAACTGGTGTTTCCTTCATCACTGCCAACCTCAGCGTTACAGGGGTTGACTTGCACAAGAAGCTGGTACCATTCACCATGAAGCTGACACGCCTTTTGCCTAGCGTTTGGAGAAACTAAAGCAGGAGAGCTAGAGGGCAAGCTGAGAAAGCTCAGGTCCAGGTGCTGGCTCATCCCAACCAAGGGGAACTTTTAACCAGCAAGGACTGGCGCAAACTGTCATAATGCTTGGGGCCCTCCACCACCTTCACAGGATAAAAAAAAAATGTTGCTTCTGCTTTACTTCCTCTTCCAAATCTGGTGCAAAGTTTCCCTTATGGCCAACACTGACGTGGAACCACACAGGGAGGAGAATTCTGAGAAATGTAGTTCTGCCTCAGCTCTGTTGACAAAACACCACCACAGATGCCTTTAGGGCATTCAGGCTTCATTTTCTCAGGTGTGCTCTTCCTCAAGGTTTTACCTTCTGACTTGCTGGCTATTTTTCTCTCCAGACTAGTTTTATCATTCATGGCAACTTTGGCCTCTTAGCTTCTTGACTTTTTTCACATTCAACCATCAACTGGTAATCTTATCTTAGACCTAGGAATTAACGTGTTAACCATGTCACCTCAAAAATCTTTAATTCAAAATTTCTAATTCGAACGTTATTTCACTCACCAGTATCTCTTGTTTTTCCAGTTCACCTGTCTCAGTCTTGTCGCCTCTCAGCTAATCTAGACTTGAAATTTACAATTGCATCTTCTGCTGCGGCCTCAGGTCTCTTTCTATGATATCATTCATTCCCATCCACCTACAATAGGCTGTATGTTCTCCCATCTTAAAACAAAAGATCCACCCCCTCCCAAACAAACAAAACAAACTCTTCTTAGACCTCAACTCCTCACTTAATTATTCTATGTCTGTGAAAACTTGAAAAAGTTTTTACTCACTTTTTCCATTCTCTCTTTAATTCACTATAATCAAGTGTCATCCTGCCATTTTTCTCACAAAGGGTACTAATGACCAAATGGCAACTTCTCAGCCTTTATCTTATCTGGCCTTCGGACACCATGAGGCACGATCATCTCTTATTTTCAAAGTGCTTTTTCATTTGGCTTCACACTCCCATTTCCCATTGTACTCCCTGGTGACTCTCTCACTAAATTGACCTCCTTAGGTGACCCCATCCAGTGCCTTGATTCTAAGTTACATCTCCAATCTTGATATTTTCCATACCAGTTTTCCTCTGATTTACACATGTGTATATTCATTTGGTTGTCCAATGAGCATTGCAAACATAAGTCCCCAAAGGCCTTCTGATTTCCTGCCCCCAAACCTGTTTGTTCCTTGGTGTTTCTGTGGTAGATAGACTCCAAAATTGGTCTCCATCAGTTTCCTCCCTCATTTTATACCCATG